TCCAATGATTGAAATTTTGTTAAAATGGAGGCCCTAACACCTAACCCTAACCCTGTTAACCACTCCATAAGCCATTGATATTTGACAAGTAATAATCTAAAAAACTTACCTAAGAATTAACTTGTATTAAATTACTTACCCAAGAATTAACTTGTATTGAATTATTTTCAATTTGATATAAATAAATAATCAAGTGCTAGATAATTCAAAATGGGCTGAGTTAATTTATTAAAAGTACATTATGATTGTTTGTAAACATGGACAATACCATAGGAGTACCTATCTCACGTTTTACCAATTTTTTTATTTGATTGTTTCATGGTCTTGTATTTATTTATATTCAAGTTATTCTGAAATTTAGTTTTGTGTTACACAAATGCATTTGATTTGTCTTTATAAAATTTCTGAATATTAAAATATTATAAATTATGATATAATTTTATAATAATTATATATAATATTTTCAAATATTATAATACCGTTGTTATAATTATTATAACAACGGTAATAATTATATTTCAGGATAATGACCTCTGAAGCCAAACCGAACCACACAATTTATGTCAATAACCTCAATGAAAAAATCAAGAAAGATGGTTAGCACATTTGGTTATTTTCAAAACTTTTACATTTTGAGGTCTAGTTCAGTATATTTAAGTATTTGGATTTATTCTAAAAATATTCATTTAAATAAAACACTTTTATATGTTATGAAATCAGTTGGAAATCAAATAATTTTGCGTTGTGAATTTAATTAATTAATTAATAATTACGATAGGAGCCATTCAAAAAGGTTTATTTCACAACACCTCACATTCACTATTCACAACCTTTCAGAGCTGAAGAAATCTCTTTTTGCCATTTTCTCTCAGTTTGGAGAAATTTTGGACATAATTGCAAGGAAAACGCTGAAGACTAAGGGCCAGGCATTTGTGATCTTTAAGGACATCAACAGCTCAACGAATGCACTGAGGTCCATGCAAGGCTTTCCATTCTATGACAAGCCCATGGTCAGTTTATTGCTCTTATTAGCTAAATTTTCATTTTGTTATTCTCATCATTGTTGTTAAGTTTACATGAAACAAAATTATGTGAAAAATATTAAACATATTTTCAATAGTGATACTGTCTATTCTTTTTCATCCATTAGTTAAGATTTTTGGTCTAATTGTATCCTAAAATTAATGATTCCTAATTATGCAAATGATTTTTGCTTTGCATGATATCATTCATCTTTCAGCAAGTTAAGGTATTAATCATTTGATTTTTTAATAAAAAAGAAATTAGCAATGATTAATGAACCAACATGATGATGATGCAGAGGATTCAATTCTCAAAGAAGGACTCTGACATCATAGCAAAGATGAAAGGTACATTCATCGAGAGGCCGAAGAGGTTGTACATCAGTGAGAATGATGGGAAGAAGAAAAGGAAGGGGGCCAAGTTGTTCTTTTGCATCATTTATGTCTAGTTTTCTCTTCATTAACATTTTTAATAACTTATTCACTGAAATATTTGTTTTTTTCTCAATAATAATGTTGTGATGTTTTTAAACAACTGCATATCAGATAGTTCCAGTATTTATTAGAAAATGCACAAGACTAAAAGCAACATTGTGGGTGACATGATGATAAACTCAATGCCTATGTTATAATATTTTTAAACATCTATATATATATATATATATATATATATAAAATATGCAAATGACTATTTAACTTCACCAGACAATCAGTAACAGAAAAGTTAGGCAAGCAGAAGGCTCAATCTTCGAAACCTCTGCAACCAGGTAAGTTGGTTTCCATTTTGTAATCAAAATAAACTCAAGCGTTTGTAGTCTATATAATCAGTATATTAATTGAATAATTATTTTCTAATTTAGAATTTCTATTCATCTCAAAATTCTTATCGCAAAGTATTATCTTACCTGTTTCAAAATGGATTATGTGAGATTGCATTTATTATAGCGTTTTTGATCAATCAGTTTTTATTCAGTTTCAAATGTTTAATATGAAAAATATGAGATGAATGAAATAAAAATTATTGTGACATTGGTTTGCCCAAATCAGTAGCCCAACAGCAGCCACCAGCTGTGACGAATCCAGCCTTGATACCCGACCAACCACCTCACTATATCCTCTTCCTTACTGGTCTCCCTGAGGAAACCAACAACATCATGTTACAGATGCTCTTCCAAAAGTTAGAATTATAAATTTTTCATTTATTAATTGGTTAAAATGAATTGTAGTGTTGAATGTTTTATTTAAAGTTGTTATGATCGCCAGTCCGTCAGTTGTTATGGGAACCCCCGATCTCGGGGAAAATGTCGTCTAAACGTGTGTTGTGTTGTTGTTATGATCGCCAGGCTTTAATTTGCAGTTATATTACTACGTTTTATATTTTTGCATTTCAGCAAGTTGCTGAAGTTGCTGCACTTATAAAATTTTGATTTAGTTCTTGTAATGATATGGCACAAGAAGCTTATGCTTGCTTGTGATTCTTTACTTTCTGCTAAAAAAATTTAAAAGATACTTGTAATCTCAGTTTGCCTGCTTCCATTTTCATAATAATTGTTTCAACATCATCTTGTAATTTCTTTATATTATTAACCACAACTCCTGTTGCTTCTTGTGTTGACAACCATCTTAAAACTACTGAGAATGCTTTCCTTCAATTAGTTTAACAAAAACTTCAATTAACTTCATCAACAGTTTCCCAGGCTTTAAAGAAGTTAGATTGGTTCCAGGTCGACACGATATTGCCTTCGTTGAGTTCGAGAATGAATACCAGGCTGGTGTGGCCAAGGAATCGCTGCAAGGCTTCAACCTCACTCCTACCAGCAAGATGAAAATTACATTCGCTAAAAAATAATTCTTTCTTACATTATAAGTACTGTTATTTGTTTTCTCTGTTTGATTACTGTGGTTTCAATTTACCATTAGTTGTAGCTAATGATTATCATTATATTTAAACATTCAAATGTCTTGATGTTTGATGCCTATTTCAAACATCGATACCAATGATATTTATTTGTGAAAAAATTAAAAAAATGTGTAGATTTTTTCTTTGCTGTTTTATTTTTTGTTTCATCCATATATCTTAATTAACATATATGGTTTCATAGTCAGGTGGTTTTATTTCATAGTCGTGTTTATTCCTGTTATTTTTATTACTGGAAATGTCACGGTTCAAAAAGTATTATAAGCGAGCATGTTTAACGTTTTGAAATTTCAGCTTTGTTGAATTGGTAAGAAATGAATTGTTTCTATGCGCATAATATTCATGAAATTGAAATCTAGCTTATGTGGCGTCTTCTTTCTTTATTGCCTTCTTGATTATGTAAGCGTTCAAACTGACAGTTTATTTTACAAATTGGTGCACCTGAGAGATTAAACCAAGATCGAAGAAATTCAAATCAGAAGTTGCTTTTTGCTGAGGATACAGCTTACAGTCAACATCATCCACTGAGTGAACTGATTCAGTTTCCTAAATCTTGTAAGGCTTTTGGACTTGCAATCAGCTTTAAAAGGACTTGCGTTTGGCGCAGATCTGTGCCATTCCTTCTTTTCTAAATATTGACAACTATGAGCTCGATGTCGTCAACAAATTCGTATTTTTCGGATTGGCGAGTCATGGGAAATGACACCGATGACTTCTCGGACTGGTTCCTCTAGTATATACACAACGCTGAAAAAGCATCGGCTCCGATAGCTGGCTCATGTTTGGTGCATGAAAAATAAACGTATTCCAAAGACAAGGCCGCGAATAATATTTTAAAATAGGCCCAAACAGGACCTGAAAGCTGTAGGTATACACACCAATTTTTGGAAACGTCTGGAGATGTGGAGAAAAATTAGGTATACACAAAACCAAGCGGTAAAGAATACATCAAAAACAAGCCATAACCAAGACTCAGAAAAAATAAAAAGCGAATTCATCAACTTTGACAGCCACTATCGACTTTTCAGATAAGGTATCACATATGAACATTTCTGTTATTCCATAGTTGTAGTTCTTCGTATTCATCACCGACGTTGCCAGGCAAAAAACTTTAGATATGATAAACGATAGAGGCATTTCCGCGATGTTCAACAGCGCTCCTCAATGAATTTTGAAAATAGATGGGTCTTGAGATCCGCTCTGAACTTTGCAAGTGATGGAGAAGTAGTCAGAGAAGTAGGTAGAAAGTTCCAGAGAAAAGGACCAGAAAAAGCAAAAGCAGATTTGGCAAAAGTGTTTAACACGAGTTAAGAAAAAGCGAGAAGAAGACGATCGTAAACCGGGGCGTTTAGGTTCAATTAGTATATCTGATAAATACTTAGGAAATAATTTAAATTGAGACTTATACATGAACGTGCAAATTTTAAAAATTATTCTATATTTTATAGGTAGCCAATGCAAGAGAACAAGATATGGAGATATATGAGAAAAGAAAGGGGCACGAGCAACTAGACGAGCAGCAGAGTTAAAAGCTTTATAATGGGAGAAATACGATACAGTGATTCCAATTTAAAATTCCATAATTATAAACTAAAATATGTATTAAAAACGATTATAAACGACATTTAATCCACTATTTTTTAGCAAAAATCTTGTTTTTGGCTTTCGATAGATAGATAATTTGTTTTTCTTTGTTTATGTATTATGGTGCCTTTCCTGTTAAGTTGTGGAAATGATATGTTCGTTTCGGTTATTTTTCGGGCACGGCTATCTCCTACTTATACGTTAGTTTTATTTATACATTGTATTTTATTTTTGTGGTTAAATTTGTTTTTTATTTTTCAATTTGTTTTTAATTTTAAATTACTAAAATTTGTTAATATTTTTTTAATAAGGCAATTTTGGTTATGAGCGATAATGGATGACCAAGAGCAAGACTTTCCACGTGAAATTCACGCAGCGAAACAACCAAATGAAGAGAAAAAATCAAAAAATTCAAAAAGTAAAAAAAGGCCATTGGAACATTTGGACAAAAATCACGGTGAAACTAGATCAAAGAAAGTGAAGTTAGATGATCATTTCAATTCGTTCCAGTTTCATATTGAACAAGATAGCCTAATATTAGGATGTGTGAGTGAAATAAAAGATTATGGAGTTGTTGTTTCATTAGCTGATGGAGTCAAAGGGAAAATTTCCATTACTGACATCGGAGATGATTACACAAAAAAGTTACAGAAATTAGCTTCAGGTCAGTTGGAAGATGATGGTACAAAACTGTTGAGCCTGCACGACATATTCCACTTGGGGTCTGTTGTCAGATGTTGCATCACTCAATCAGAATTAATTTCAAAAAAGAAAACCCTTTCGCTTACAGTAAATCCAAGATTAGTTAATAGGGACATTATTAAATTAAATTCGGGAAATTTGATAACTGGCGTTGTTTGCAGTTGTGAAGACCATGGTTACATTGTTGATGTCGGTGTCAAAAATGTAACAGCATTTCTTTCTAAAAAAGAAACTAGTGAATTTGTTAAATTAAACATAGAGAATTTTGCAGATAATGTTCAGATTTCAATTGGTTCTTACCTTACATGTATGGTTGAAAATAAAAATTCTTCTGAAAAAAGAGATAGATTAGATAATCTTACAGTCAATCTCACAATCGATCCCAATAAAATATCCAACAGTTTTCAATCCAAAATATCACTTCAATTTTTGTTGCCCGGTACTCCAGTCAAGTGTTTGGTGGTTTCAAAAGAAAATAACTGTCTCTTAGTGAAGATTAATTCATTTGAAGGGATTATATTTCATATGCATCTAAGTAAAAACATTGACCATTATAATGTGGACCAAGAATTGATTGCATGTGTGCTGTATGTGCAACCATCAACGAAGTATGTTGTTTTAACTCAGCTGAAACATTTGATGAATCCAAATAAATTTGAAGTGCTTTTTGATGGTTTTGAGGTAGGCAACGTATTATCTGACATTAATGTAGCAAAAATTGATTCAAAGTTAGGACTCTACTTTAAATTATCTGACACAGTGAATGGGCTGGTGAAGAAATCTCAACTGTCAGATAAAGATGCTGTCAATTTGAAGGATTTCAAAAAAGGGCAAACAGTAACAGCCAGAGTTGTTGGGTTCAATTACTTGGAAAATGTGGTAATGCTAACGCTGAGAGAAAGCATAATCAATATGGCCTATTACAATTATGATGACATCAAATCAGGTCAGATAATTGAATGCACTGCAAAGATGTTCCATAAAGGTGCACTTGTGGTTAAAGTGATGGGTAAGATTTCTGGCTACATCCCTTCCATGCATCTTTCTGATATTCCTTTAATTAATCCTGAGAAAAAGTTTAAAGCTGGTAAAGTATTAAAATGCAAAGTTTTGATTGTCAAACCTAATGACATGAAACTGATTTTGACCAATAAAAAGATGCTTGTCAAGTCAAAACATGCAGTTCCTGCTAGCTTCAGTGATGTCAAGCTGAATTCTCTTATAACTGGTTTCATTGCCTCAATCAAACCTCAAGGATTGTTGGTAGTATTTTGCGAAAATGTGAAAGGCTGGGTACCAAAACAAGAACTAAGTTATTCAGAGGTCTCTGATAATTTTACTGAGCAATTCTACATTGGACAAGTGGTCAATTGTAAAGTTCTTTCATGCGACCTAGATAAACAAAAAATGGTGTTATCTTTAAAAGTGGGCAAACACGACGACAAAAATGATGTTAAAAATATCGTTTCTAATGAAGATATAACAATATCTAAATGCAGTAAAACCTCAAAAAAATCTGAAACTGAGCAGTTGAAATCTAAAGCGTTAACAACAGTTTCAAATAAATCGAAAAATGACCTATCAACCACAAATGTTATTAAATCATCTGAAGATAATAAAATAAATAAAAATAAGTCAGTGCCAAGTTCAAATTGCTTAGTTTTAGATATAAATGAAGAATTTTCTTGGGATGATAGCATGCAAAATGATGTGATAGTAACAAATTCTAATTCCCATGATAATGCAACAAAATCTGAAATCATTTCAATAGCTCGTAAGAAAGATTTAAATTCAAATGAAAAAAGGTTAGAATTAGAAAAAGCAACATTAATGGAACCGAACAGTTCTTTGGTTTGGCTAAATCTTTTAGCATTTGATATCGAAAGTGGTGAAATAGAGAGAGCAAGAGAAGTTGGAGTGAGAGCTATAAAAACCATTTCATACAGAGAAGAAAAAGAGAAGTTAAATGTTTGGATGGGTTGTATAAACATGGAGTATCAGTATGGATGTGAAGAAAGCTTGAAAGAGATAACCGACTCTGCTCTTAAATGTTGTGATCCATACAAGATATATTGCCACGTTCGAGATATGTATAGTGCAGATCAGAAAGTTGATAAAGCTGAAGAAGTTTGTAAAATTTTATTGAAGAAATATAAGACAAACCCCGATGTTTGGGTTTCTTACGGACAAATACTCTTTAAATTTAACAGGTTAGACCAGGCCAGATTGATTATGATGGATAGTTTGGATAGACTGGATAAGAAACATTATATTGAACTAGTTACAAAGTATGCTCTTTTGGAATCTAAATATGGTAATCCAGAAAATGCTGAAACCCTCCTTGAAAGTTTAGTTACAGGTCATCCAAAAAGAACTGATGTTTGGTCTATGTACATTGATCTCTGTGTGAAACAAGGTAGAATAGAACAGGCACGAAGTTTACTGCAGAGATGTACTAAATTGTCGCTACCAACAAAAAAAGTTAAATTCCTGGTGAAGAAATTCTTAAATTTCGAGTTAATGCATGGCACCGAAGCAGCAGTTGAGGAAGTGAAAGAAATGTCGAAATCGCTCATTACAGATGAACTAACTGATGACTAATTTTTTTAAATAAATTGTTCAATTATTAATATTTTTCATTTAATTCAAAGAAATGTGTTACTTTCACAATTTTTAACTTTCTGTTTAATAAATCTAAATTTTCTTGTAAATTGGATGTGTAATATGAAATCAAAACCTCAATGCGCTCAGATAAAGATAATGCGACGTATTAATGAAGTTGGAATCGCGCCTAATAAAGGTCCGCAATTATCGAAGAAGTCGAATTGTTCGCTGGCTTTTGGTCTGTGGTATCCCGTTCTGTTGATATGTGTGCCTTTGTCGCATCGCATTCACCTTAAAAAGTTATGATTGCGTGGCTTCGGGTAGGTGACACGATGTAGGTTTAATTTTGCTTTGCGGTTGGTTGCTTCATGCATGGCCGAATCAAGAGTTTAAATCATTACAGCCAGAATTTTTCGGGTTATTTTTTTATAACTAAAAAATGCACAATTAAAATAGATGAACATGAAAAATATTGGCTTACTTAGAAATATTTAAAAATTTCAAATTTTTCGAATTGTAAAGAAATGGATAGACATTATGAGCGTGAAATTCACGAGGTTGTGGTTAAGCTTGTGTTGCTTCTTGGGTCTTTGCAGCGGCGTTCTTGATTATGTAAGCGTCCAAGCTGAAACGTATTTTAATGATTCTTAACTTTATTTACATCCAATTTATCCAAAGCTTGTTATGAAGAAATTAACATTTTATAACATGCTTTTTATGATAAATTTCAGTCGATATCTGTATAAGTACGTACCCGTGGTTGTCTTCCCTGTCGTGATTTTAATATTAAAAATATAGTAAGAATTTTTTGATAGTAGTTTTTGCTGTAGTTTCATTAGAGCGATTAAGTTACGACAGCGACCACAACTAAGCTTATTGTCAATACGACGTAACTTCTACTGTTACTTCGGCTCTATTATTTCTTACAAACGATATTTCACAACCAATAACAAAACAAAATTGCTAATTTCTTAAGCAATTAGACAAAGCGTCGAAATATTAACCTCAATGTTAACAAACAAGGTTGACTAACCCGGTCATAGCTGGGGGTTCAGGCAGAGGTTTGTTGAACCCCATCTTGCCAACCAACCAGTACGTTTTGTGCTTGCCTTTACCCTGCAAAAGAAAAATTCAAAATATTGAAATGTTTCACTGAATTCGAACATGAGAAAGATAAGTAAAAAATGTCACCTTGAGTTCGACCTCTCCTCTGTAAACAACCTCATAACCTCCCAAAAGAACCAACTTCTCCTGTGTTGCCCAACTGACGTGGATGCGAAAAGCTAGAAATTCAAGTGTTCCATCATGTTTATTAAGCACTGTTTATAAAAATCCGTGCTTATTGTCACGCCAATTTAATAATAATATTCATTATTTATTCTATTATGCTTAATTCGTCATGCTGCTGACGGCTTATGACATATATCTACAGCAAATAATTATTACAATCGTTAAAGTAATAACAAATGAGGTAAACATGGAGAACCAGAATCTTCTTGTATGATCGGTTCAACAAACCAACTAAATGAACAACCAACTGATCAAACAACCAACTGACTAAACCAACTGACCAAACAACCAATTGCCCAAAAACCAACTGACCAAACAACCAATTGCCCAAAAACCAACTGACCAAACAACCGACTGAACAAAAAACCAACTGACCAAACAACCAACCAGTTGATGTGGATTCCATCCTACTAGCTGTGTTCACTGTATCTCCGAAAAGACAAAACCTGGGCATGCGCAAACCTACAACTCCTGCCACACATGATCCTTGTAACATGTTGTGTGTGAACTGTTAACGTGTACTTCGGTATTTGTGCATGCATATGCATGTGCTTATGTGTGTGTGTGCGTGCGTGCGTGCGTGTGTGTGTAATTTTGAGCGCTTTGTTAGGGATAATTTTTAAAATTGTGTACGTTTGATTGTATGACGGATGCGTGCAAGTGCAAACCGTACATATGATAATATGATACGTTGATGTTGTATGTGCTCATATGGTGGAATGGTGCGCCATTACTTATAATTATATCCAATCACGCGCTAATGGAAAATCTGCTTTTATGTGTAAGTCTGTACGTATTGTAGAAGATGCACAACGCTCATTAAGTGCATCAACGCATTGCACACAAGCATTTATAAAAGTCGGCAAAATTAATTTATTCGATCTAAATCGGTAGCACACACCATTTATTACATCATTTAACACACGCAACTATTTTCAATGCTTGGATAAATGGAGGCGAATGTTGAAATTGAAACATGCCCCAACATTTAACATTTGTTTTCATAGCCGCTTTTAACTGAAAAACAGTTTTTTTTTCTGAAGACAGGTAACTATTGTTTTTTATGTTGCCTATTCACCACTCTCTCATATTAAATATGTGTATAAATATAATAATAATAATATAATAGGACGATCCGAAAAACGAATAGTCCATTCCATTCATCACTTAACAAGGCACGTTAACTTTGAAGGTTTGACTTGACTTGATTGAGATACTAAAATTTAAAAGTACGCAGTAAGCAAATGAGAATATACGGACCAGTGTGGATGCCGATCCTGATACGAAGTGGGATGTCAGGCATGTGCCAGATGACAAACTGACCGCACTTGCTGAGCAGGTCGAGAGCCATGGTCGATATCTCACCTGCGTGTCTGTCCCCGTTGCGAACAGGAAGGCCGCTGCACGCCATGTACGCATCCCCTATCGTCTCCACCTACACTCGACGTCGTTATGTTGTGATGTTGGGATGTTGTTGTGATGTTGCTGTGATGTTGGGATGTTTTTGTGATGTTGCGACATTGTTGTGGTGTTTCGATGCTGTTATGCTGTTATGCTGTGTGGTTGTGGTGTTTTTGTGATTTCTTTGACAATTTTTTCACATCACCATTGTCCGTTCTTTCGAGATCATTATTTTGTTATACCAATTATGTATGATAATTGCAATCTGTGACGTTGTAATTATCTAATCATCATTTGAACCATCAGCATAACTCCGATCTAACTTTGTAGACGTCATAATCATCGATGGTGGAGTCGAACATGGTGTAGAGGTCGTTGAGCAGTCTGACAACCTGCAGTGGGCTGCTCATGGCCGATATTGTCGTAAAGCCGACGATGTCGCTAAAATAGACCGTCACTTCCTCGTAACTTTCTGGATCAACTGGACTGCCTGACAGCAAGCTCTGTGCTACAGATCTGAGTGCAAACAAATTTTACTTTATTTGGCCTCGTTTTGGAAATCTATTAGGGGCTTTACATTCTGATTTTTGAAAAATACCAAATATTGATGGTAATAGGTGTCTCCTCACTAAAAATTCAAATTAGTTTGAAATACAAATTTTAAATGCCTAAATGTTTACAAAAAAGTTTTAAACAGATCTACTTTTGAAATAGGCTGAAAAATGAGAAACCAAGTTTTTAATGATTTTCATACTAACATTTGCTGGAGTAAATTTTTAGCTTTAAAAAAAAGAGAATTTAAAGACCATTCAATTTCATACAACTATTAAAAATAGCACATAAACCAAAAAAATAAGCAAAAATAAAAAGAATGTCGTACGCGGGCAACATCTGAGTGAGCAAACTTTCAGTCTTCTTCCTCTCCTCCTCCAAAGCCAACGTCCTCACCCTCACCGTCTCCTCCAAGTCGTTCGAATATTTCTCCAGTTTACGGAACATTGCATCGACGATGTTGGTTTTCCTGAGAATATAAGTGACAGACAAAATTGGATAAAACTTATGTTACAAAACTAACAACACGAGAAATTGTCGTTTAAAATTGAAACCTCAAAAATTAATTCTGAACCAGCTACAAATGATTTTGAAAGTTTTAAAATTCGTATTATTTAAAAAAAATATTTTATGTGTGGTTTAAATGTGATTGAACCGATGTTGAAAATTAAAAAACTGGATCAAAATAGGAAAATTGTGAAAAGCTTTTCAAAAAAATCTAAAAAAAGTGCAAAAACGTACTTTCCTTTGGTGAATGATTTGAACCTGCCAACAATGTCTTCGAAACTTGGCCTGGTCTCAGCCATCTCTCCCCAACATTGCTTCATGAGTTGTATGTACTCCGGGGGGGCTGCCCCTGGTGGCACCGCTGGTCGGCACAGAGGTGGTGGCTTCAAAATCTTTCCCAGCAACTCTGTTATCATGTGGTTACAAATATTTCTGATCACATCTCACATCTGATCACATAACATTTTTGACAAAAATTTAAATATTGAGTGTTCTAAATAAATCCGACACATTTTACCAACCTCACTTAAATAGCTAAAATACGCAATTAACTTTGGTGTTTTTGTTGTTTTTTGTGACATTTGATAAAAATTACAATAAATTGAAGGCGATGTTTTTATAAATATAGAACTATTGATTGAAAGTGTTTTGAAAGCAGAAGAACCTGCTGACCTTCAGGTTCCTTGTCGAGCATTCCATAAGGAGGCATTCGCATCAGGATCTCTTGCATGATGACTGCGAAACTGTACACATCGCCTGCAAGTAGGTTGACAGATATTTTTAACTACTATAGACAGCAACGTATTTATTTACAATTTAATTTTATACAATTCTTATCATTAAATACAAAATTTTATTAAGAATATTATTAATATATTAATAACTACCCGCGCAAGAGACTAATAAATAAACTGCACACCAACACGTGCACACAAACACAAACGCGCACATACGGGTAAATTCATCATAGTAGAGAAATTGAAAGTTTAACCTTTTTGAGAAGCATGCCTAAAGTTTTCATCTTGTCTCAAAATTTCTGGAGCGGTCCAGAGCAAGCCTGGTTTTAGTCGTTTTTAAACAATTCAATTGTTTTCGTTAATTTTGCTGCTTCAATTTATTTAATTGCATTAATCAGTTTAATTATTTTTGTCGTTGAGAAAATTCTTTCGATAACTTCATCTTCATCTCATCACTTTCATCAATTCAGTCAACTCACGTTTTTTATCTGCAGAAGGAAATTTTGTTTTACAGAATTCGTAGATGGTTTTGACCCCGAAGTCGGTGATCTTAAGGACCCACCTGGTGTCGATGACGCAGTTGTGCGAGTTCAGGTTGCCATGCGTGCCGATGGCACTTGAATGCAAGTACCGCATGCCCTTCGTGGATTGTCGTTTTTTGAATTTTAAATTTCGTTAATGAAAATCTTCGACCACGTTCACCCATACCATACTTTACTTCAACATTTCTCAAAACTTTCCTTAGGTCTTTGTATAGTTCATTTGTCTCTAGATACACATTTTAAATTTTTATAAATCTTGGACGTTAAGTTAAAAAAAATTTAAAAATTTAAAGTTTTTTTTTTCATTAAACTTCTCAAATCATTTTGGTGATCGAGTAGTTGGTTGGGTACTTATTATTTTATTAGCAGGTTAGATTATTGCCTGGTGCCATGCTAATGCTGATCAATGGACGTTGTTTCGATATGGAAAATAATAATAATCCGTTATTTAACTTTCATTTAGTGTCATTTGCGTTTGCTGAACTCTAATTGATCTGACTGTTATGCTTCGATTGATACCGTCTTTAATATTTGATTTAATTAGTTTATACGATAAAGTTTAATGTCTAACTCAACAATATTTTGTTGAAATTAGATTTAACTATAATATTCTTGAAATTAATGAAATACCGACCATAATGAGATCAGTCATCAGAGAAAGTTTGAACTCCCAGTCCAAGTTAACATCAGCGTTGAACAAGACATCCTGTTTGATGAAAAGACATTAACCAATCATCTAACATTAATGAAATTTTACACTAAATGTTTGTTAAAATAACAAAGCGCTATTCTAAAGATATAAGTTTTTTTCTTTTTCATGAGGACAAAAACGAGTTTTCTGACGTGAAAGAGTAACAAATTAGGTTGATGAATGATGAAAATAAAAATAAAAGTGAAAGAATGAAAAAGTTGATGAATATTTATTACGATATAAATAAATACAAAAGTCTAAAAAATAATATGATGAAGCACAAATATAGTAAAGTGCAAAAACGTTTTCAACTTCATTTTCGACATCGATTTATTTTCCTAAAAATTTTCTATTCCGTCATCTGTTCAAATTAAAAAAACAGTATCGACTGGAAGTGTGAACATAAGCACAATACACAAAAAATCCTCATAAACTCATACACTGAATGTAAACACATATGCAACAATCACACAGGTAAATCAAACATATTATACATCAAACGGATGATACACAAGTGTAACAGTCGCATCAATGGCGGATCTAGATATCTTTGACGGGGGATGGATCAAAATTTTGAAAATGTTAAAATCTTAACGAGAGGGGGCGCAAAATTTTGACGGGGGTGCAAGAGTTGTGATAGTTTGGTCAAAATTACTCTGGCTACCTTTTTTTATCGCGTCAATTTTTCACCAATATTTGTCACAAAACGGTGCTTTCTCTGTCAAAACAATTAGTTTTATTGATTTCTACTGAAATTACTGCTTACACCCCACTCTAGGTCCGCCACTGGTCGCAACCAACACGTAACAAACTAACGATCCGCTTCACTTGCTAAGTAAGAAACTTAGACAAACACAACATATGAGAACCGATAAAGCTCCATTCTCCAAACAGAAATTCAACTGACCGCCAGACTTGATCGTGTGCAGAACTCAAAGAGCAGGCAAGGTTTGAATGGATCGATGAAGCAACCCACAAATGGGTTCAAGTTCTCGTGTCGAAGTTCCTGTAACTTATTTCATGTTACAGGCTGAAAAAAACTATGCCTACATAAAAACGGACAAACATTTAATATATATATATATTTATATATCCATAAAAAAGGTTCCGTTCGATTTATGTATTATATATATATATATGTATATATATATATACATGTATATATATATATACATGTACATATATATATATAGTCAACAAGAAATTTATACGTAGATAGGGAATGTGTAGTATAACTCATATTTTGCTGCAAATAACAGAGCTGAATATAAAAATATTTTAGAGTAATTTTTCGTTGAGCATCCTTTCAAATTTTTTAAAGTTTTTTTAACATTACGAAAGTAAAGATAGAAGGAGCTAACAATTTGGAGGAAGTTTTGCACTCGGCTATTGATTTGAAAGTTTTTGATGAAAAGTTCCTTCATGAAGACAATGTCCTCCTGCAGTTTTTAATTTTTCTTTGTTTTTAAAAGTTTTTCGGATAATAATAAAATTTTTTAAAAGTTAATATATAACTTATAATATAGAATATGTATAACTAAGCTATTTATTTAGAAGAATAACTATACAGAATCATAGAACTAACGTTGTAACGACATATTTTGCTACCGCTCTTTATATCTCCGAATGATCCATTTGATTTGAACGCGTTAGAAGCTCTCTTGCTTGAATTGTGCGGTATGGACTTTGAAAATAAAATTTCGGATGGTTATTGTTTTGTAATCTTATTAAAGATCAAGCAAACCATAATAATTAAAAAATACAGTAAAAGTCCTCTAGAGAGGACATCATTGGGGAATGACCAAACTGTCCTCTCCTCTTAACTGACTCCTCAAGACTCAACATCAAAATCTTTTTTGATATACTACATAAAAAATTAAAATAAAACAACACGTTTTTAATATTGTTATGGAAGAAAATCATTCATAGTTGTCTGTTTGCCAAAACATTTTGTTTTTAACAATTCAATTTCTAAAATATTATCAATGTTCTCAGAAAATTGTAACAATTCTCTATTGCCCATATGTATCGAATAGGAAGTTAGCTTCCTGGCACATTGTAATGCCATCTTTGTAGAAACTTCTTGAACTGGAGCCTCTTCTTCCTCTTCATCATCTTGGACTTCAAATTGTTCATGATTTTCAGAACTTTGTGGGCTATGGATTGAGTCATCATTGTTATCCATGGTTACAAAATTAACAGAACCCAAAAGGCTGGTTATGGTAGGATCAGCTTCAATCAGCTGCACATCTGTATCTATATTTTCTCCTATTCCAAAACCACACTTATTAAAACATTTTGTGATAGAAGTAGGATTAACATTTCTCCATGCCACATCCAACCAATTAATTGCATTTAATAGGTTAACAGATTTTGCTAGTTCTTGTGCTGTATCTGCTTCTTCCATGTCTGTAAAAACATGTCTCAATAAATTAATTTAATTTGTGAAATTATGCCTGCATCTAATCACTAATGGCTGCAAGCATGACGTTGTTTTTGGTGGTAAATACTTAACGATAACATTTGACATGGAAATCTCTGGATGAGCAGAACAATTATCAACAAAGAGAAGGATCTTTCTTCCTAAAAAAAATGTGTTAATTAGATAAGTATAAAAAATATTTTATTTGCATTTTATTGTATAAGATTTGGCACTACTCTAAAAATAATCTGGCAGTCATCCATGCCCTTTTGTTCCAGCGATACATCATAGGTAAACTGTTTTTTTTTCAAGGCTATAAATAAAATTAATCAGTTGAAATTTTTTATAGTTTTGAAAATATCATCTGAAATTTTAACCTTTAAAACATCGAGGATTTTCTGCATAGCCAATGACCAAAGGTGGCAATTTTTCCCCTGTCTGAGAGCAAGCTAACTCCATCATTTAATTTTTTCACCACCAGCATTTTTTCTTCCAAGTTTAAAATTTTTTTTCGCAGAGTCGACTCCATTATTACACAACAGTTTATCAACACGACCGCGATAAAAAATCAAAGAGCGAAAATAATTTTTTTTAAATAACCAAAGATTATCAAAGTTTCTTTAGCGCATTCCATGGAATAGAATAAATACAAATATTCAAATTAGATGGCGCATTTTGACAAATATTCTATGTGTTTTTGTTATAAATTGTCTGCTCTTTAAGACATGAAAGTCAATTTGTACTTAAAACCCTGTCCGTAGTTCGTTCCTTTAAAATGTCCGTTCTTTAGGGTCTATTTAACATGCAAAACGGTTCCGTGCCAAGCAATACTGTCCGTTACTCTTATCTGTCCGTTCTTTAGGGTCCCGCTCTAGAGGACTTTTACTGTATTTTATTACAATGGGACATAACTGAGTTATGTTACAGTTGAATATAGCAAATATAGCAGACTATTGATTTAAATAGTTCAGAATTCAGCATAGAAAATTGAGAATAACAGTAATGTAAACGTGTCTACTACATTCTCAATCATGCAGTTAGAAAAATTACAACAAACCATCTTTATTAATGATCATGAAATTTAGTGATGATGCATATAACACAATTGAAATCACCAGCAGACGTACCAAATTGCTCTGCAGTATGGACTTGGTGGTCACATAGACCACGTCATCGGGCATTACGAGAATCTTCTTCTTGCCTTTCGTCAGAGCCTTGTACTCCAGTTTCTTCCTGTTCAGTTGCACATGGAAGTTGATGAAACAGAAGTTGGATTATTTTTAATCTCTTAGTGTTTGCGCATTTGAATTTTAATAATTGTGTTTTAAATAGGTTGCAAAAACACACACCACATAAAGTTTTACGTGGGGTGGCTATTCTTCATATATCGCAAAACTGCATCGATATACAAAAAATAAATAACACTAACCGAATCCAGAAGAGAGCAAAAGCTGAGAAACCACAGATGACAATGATGATAATGACTACAGATGCCACTATTTCTTTCATGTCTGCAGGTGTAGGTCAAACAGTTGGCTCATTTGTACTTGTGAAAAATTTTTATACTAACTTTCTTTCATTTGCTTACATACTTTTGACACTTTTAGCCTTAAATGTTAACGTCTTTACGTGGTTTAGACTTATCCTTGTATGTTAAAAAACTTGTTTTCTCTTCAAAAGATTTTTACTGAAAACCGCATGATAAGTTTTGTTGCGACCTACAACAACAACTGTAAAAATTATTTATTACAATAACATTTATAACAAAGAAAAAGATGACATAAATTTTTCAAAACATCTGATGGTATTGTGATGAACATTTTTAAACTACAGTATTATTTCTATAAATCATTTTGTTTTTATTCAATATTTTAAAAATAAACTCCTATTTGACTTAAAAATTGACCTATTTACATGAAAGTTCAATAAAAAAGTTAATAGATTTATTAAATTTTAGATGAACTGCATACAACGTTCATTAATGCTTTGCTTTTTTTATTAATATATAAATTAATTGGATAGAAAACTCATTTGAAATTCAAAGCAAGACGTTTGCGTAAACTTTAAAAAACTGACAAAAATTCGTACTACACTCAATATTTTGATCTCTTGCTGTGTGTGTTAATTTTTGTAACTAACATTGGATTTTTTCATCAGCACTTTGTTGTAGGAATTTTATTTCCATTACATTAAACTCTTATGGCATTGTTTAACTTTTTGTTTAAATTACATATGAAGATGAAGAACCTTGATTCAAAACTCAAAAAGTAAATTTTTTCGCGAAAACAAAATGAAAAAAAGTCCTTAAGAAGTTTGCGAGGAGAGCACGCAGGCATGATGGCATTAAAATAATGAGCAGTGTTTGCAACAGTTCAGCAGCGAAGAGTTATTAATCTCTCTCATTAACTTCCACTGTAACGTAGGTATGTCTCGCACTGAGATTTTTTGCCGCAACCTCAGTTTCATGGAGTCCACCTTTGAAAAGTAAGCAAGTCTTCATTAGGTTTTTATGTAAAAAAAACTCAAAGGCAGTTTAAGTAATATTTTACCTCAATGATTTCTTCCTATTTTGAGCCTTAACGATTTTGCTTCAGAAAGTAAACCGCTTTTTTGTTGTCATTTAGAATACTGAATTGTGCTGTTAAATTAACTATATTTGTATGAGTTGAATTAATTTATCGTTTTCAAAGAAAAACCACACTTATTTATTTTCTTTGTCAAAAAATCAAAATACCACAACAAACGATGTATTGCTGAGAACCATAATGAAGAACCGTTGCATAAAAGTGATGACAAGAAAAAATTGCTTGACTAAACAGAAATTGGTAACAGTAACATCAATAAACTCATCGCATTAAGATGGATAATTTTATTTATCAAGTTCACAGTTCTTAGGTGAAAATATAATTTTAAAGAGGAAATCTTCTTAAGTGTGAAGTCGTGAGTATGTGGCAACAAAAAATGCACCAGGCAGTTACGAAGGACGAAACGCGACACATCCTACCAGCATGGCAGACGTGATGATGTATGCATCCCAAACTGCTGCTTGGCAGTTTATTTTGAAAACATGAATGCTTTAAGACAATGATGATGATATGACTGTATGTACTGTTTTATTGTTTTGGGCGTTTGTGTGGCTGCATCTTTTGCTGCTACGTTCAACTGCAGCTGCAGCAATAATATTGGGTTGTTTGAATTGTACATGTGCACACATAACGTGATTTTAAGATTTCAAAATCGTGCTATCATTGAAATTCATTTACACATTGTTTTTATTTGTGTGTAACATTCACTTTTAAAATATGCACTGACAATCACAAGTTGGCACGGCACAGTTTTATAAGCATTGCATGCAAACACAAATAAGTGCAGCCATAAATTTATTAGTCGAGGTCGACATACGACATTTGCAGAATGTTTTCTGACTTGAGACATAAATAAGCGGATTAAGAAACGTTTTAATATAAATGGAAAGATTGTACATGTCGCGGGTACCAAGAAACATATGCCCACACAGCAAACACCTTCGAGTAAACGTTAACGGGAACAAATTAGTACCTACACACAATGCATGGTGTATGTATCAATACATTTGTACATTTGTGTACATTTACAATTCTCCAACAGCAAAAGGTAGGTAAATGCCAATTTTTATTTATTTTTCAATCTTTCAAAACTTTCTAATTTTCAATTCATATTTTTATATGTAATAAAATAGTGTTTTTTTTATAAAGATAAGTAACGTTAGTTAGTAACTAATGAACAAAAAACTCACGATCATTTGCACACTTATCCTTGCAAGCACGAATCGGCACCAAGCTTCCCAAGACTGTTTCATAATCGTCAGTATATATGATGTCCGAACCAAGGTATAGGGTCAGCGGGCCTTCCAAGACGATTCGGTAGTTGGATGCACCTACCCAGGCCCACAACGAGAAGTACCAAACACTGTTTGTGATGGTGTTTGTGCCGTTGTTGTTGTCATCTGTGTCTTTGTTGTTAGTTCTGATGTTGTTATCGTTGTTAGGGGAAAGTGGTAGCTGGTCATGCAGAAGTTCTATGGTGCGCGAAACTGATTTGTAACTGACGTGTTGTTGTTGTGTGAACAGTTTAGCGAGCAGATCGGCCAAAGTGATCGCGTCAAAGAGAGGCTCTAGATATGAATCGTACTGCGAATGAAATTTCGTTTTGGACGTTAAAAAATGTTGTCATTCGATTCAAATTAAAACTCCACGAAAGTTAAAAACTGCTGAACTCACTATTGATCATGCTCTTTGTACATTTTATAAAGTGGTTTTCACTATTTCGCGTAACACGTCAGAAATTAAGCATACTTATGATTGGAAAAATAATTAAAATTGTACAACTGTTTCGTATTAAAGAAAGCAAGCAAACAGAAAACAGTAGCTCATAGCAAAATTATCTGCTTCTTAGAAATAACTTCCGCGTTGTTTTGCACAGTAATAAGTGTAAATGTTGGCGCGATTGTGTTTTTTGACCGTAAAAGTATTTTATGTGGTTGAGATGTTTGTCTATTGTTATGTGTTATTATATTTATATAATTATTAGCGCCGAAAATAAATTATTTCTATACCTATCTTAAACATAAAACTTCAGAGGTGCACTTTGTGGAGGAGAAAAAAAATATTAAAAAAAAAGATAACGGATGTACTTTATAAATTTACAAAATAATACAAAATGTTCAGTTCCATTTTTGTTTAACGTTTTGGTTAAGGTCTGTTCGTGATGTTTAAGATGGTGTTGCATCTACGAAGATGGCAATAAAGAACGCGATACTCTACAGTTAGGCTACAACAAGCACTGAAATACATTTTTCAGAAACATCATCTGTAAAAATGTATTATTTCGGTTTATACCTATACATATCGTCATTCAAAAATTTAAGATTATTTCATAAAAAATGTATATAACTTCAAGTCTATTTCTTCAAAACATATTCATACAAACTAATGAAAGCATGAAAAGAGATTAGAGAAACGAACCAATGGAGACAAGTCGCTAACGACACCAGATCCAGTTTTTCGAAGGATCCTCCGCTTGTGCAACTTCAAAACTAAACATTTCGACAGTATCGCCAGCTGCTTTTGTATCTCCTCAGGGCCAGTTGTTGATGTTGTTGTTGTTGAGTTGGTGTCAGGAGAAGAAGTTGATGATGACGTTGTTGTTGAAGATGACGTTGTATTGTTTTGAAAAGTCGACAATTTCAAATTCAAATACCAGTTTATTTTATTCGTAACGTTGTCGGCGGTATTAGCGTACGAGATGTTGGTGAGGTTCGGAAGGTGCGTCTGGAGGGGGGTGTCGTCATAGAGGAGGATGCAGTGGAGAGTGGAGAAGATTTCTGGAGAGGTCGTTTTTTCCAGGGTCAACGATTTCAGAAGGTTCCTCATCTCATTCGTTGTCATCATGAAAATGAAATCTGGTGATGGCGTTATTAATTTGTGATGGTGATACTGCACACTGATGATGATGATGATGATGCCGATGTTGTTGATGATGATGATGACGTTGATGATGATCATGCCGATGTTGATAATGATTATAAGAGCAAAGGTTTTGAAGATCACATTTGAAATTGTTATATATAGATATATATATTGTTAGAAAGTTCAGCGATGATAATTAAACTAGATTATTAAACTAGATTATTAAATAAATATAAATAAATGAATAAATGAATGAATGAACAAATGAATAAATGAATGAATGAATGAATGAATGAATGAATGAATGAATGAATGAATGAATGAATGAATGAATGAATGAATGAATGAATGAATGAATGAATGAATAAATGAATAAATAAATAAATAAAAACAATAGATCAGCCGGAAGCATGAAAATAATGAAATTTACAGAAACTCAGTTTCGTTTTAAAAAAAAGTTGTTTGTTAGTGGTTTTAACGGAAAGATTTTTGATATTTAAAAAATGATTATCTTATAAAGTGGTGAACATTAAATAAAAATTGAACTACAAATCTATTAGCATCATTTGTTTTTCGATGAATTGTTTTAAATATTAGAAAGCACCACCACACAGGAGAATGAAGAGGAAAGGATTGGGAGGGAGAATTAAATTGATGGTATCTGATTGGTGGACTGGAAAGTAATCATACATATGCCTGCTTGATGTTAAACAATTTGCGGATATGAAGGCGTATTAACTAGAGCATTAAACAACTATCCGGTTGATGGCATTTTGTATGAAATTTTGCATTATTTGTTCATTTAGTAAATTTATTTAGATATACTTTTATGAAAAATTGAATTCAAAATGTGGTTTGGTTCAAATAGACATGGTTTTTGTTATTTCAAGGTTACATTTTAAAATTCTGCTAAAATTCTGCTGCACTCACGCATTGAATAGCATACTAATATATATATATATATATATATATATATATATATATATATATATATATATATATATATATATATATATAATGCTTATGTGACGACACGTAAAAAGTATCCATTTTAATGGAATTAAAACAAACGTCGCAAACTAGGAAGCACTCTCGATGCTAGGAAACAAATGACTGAAAGCAGAAATAACTCGCAGGCGTTTATAAATAGATAGATGCATTTCAATTTCAACATTACACGGGCAGGAACGATGAGGAAGAGCTCTTAAGTTAACATCGACGACGCCGGTCTTTAAGCGGACAGACGTGAAACGTTCCATTTAATTGTCACACCAGCTAACAGGCAATTTATTACGAAGTGAGGAATCTTATATGCTAGGATTCAATTTTAATTCGGCTGCAAAAAGTATCAATGAACGAAGCTTAAATCTTTATTTGTGTGTTTAAAATGTTTTATGAATTAAAACTTTGAAAGCACAACACATCGGTTATAAAAAAATAAAAAAAAAATTATATAAAAACGGTTGGAAATTTGTGCTGGATAGAAAATGTTTTGAATTTCTAAAAAAAAAATATTTTTCCGATCAGATGGCGAAGAGAGATTGAAGGAAAATTTCAAGAGACTCGGCATTTTATGACTAGCACTATAAAATGTTTTTAACTATTTTTTGCCTAAACTAAATAAACTTTAATCTTTGCATAATTGTAGAGAATATTATTTTATCGGAACGTTACTTAATAAATTATACATTATAAATATTATTTCTTAAAAAAACCGTTTAATAATATATAATGTAACGCTAGCATCGTGACCAGGAACAAAATCATTGGTACCAATAATTATAATGATTGTTCAGTATTTGAATTTAATTTATTTTAACCTGTATCTATTGTGGAACGTAACCTTCATATGAAACAACAACACCACAATAACAACGACGCTGTATTAATATTGGACATTCGGGCTTTCACATTCTTCTCGTCAATTGAAGATGATTTTAAATTTAGATGTTCAGAACTAATTTAAAATACGTACACACATACGTAAAACCCATACACTCACAGGCAAACGCATTTAAAGACACTACGCATCCACACATATGTACATTCACATTCATGATACGTTTTCTCAAAAAACATTTGACAAAAGACAATGAAAACAGCAGAAAACCTTTGGAATCAGCTGAAATGACTTTCCACAAATTTCTTGCGTGCCCCACAAAATCTTTCGTTCCTTGGTGCTTTTTCAAAATGAACTCATCAGACTGAGGAACTTGTGCATCGTAGTAAATATAATCATCGTCGTCACTTTTTTCATTTGTTGGACAGATGAAGTCAGCAAAAATAATTTCTAACAAGGAAGATGGTGAATCTGCTTGTCTGTAGAGGGTGCTGTAGAGCAAGGCGAGCTCGCGTGAGGCATCTATGTACATCTTTGAGGACTTTGTGCTTATTATTGTCATGTCATCCAATTCTAAGGAATTTAAAATTATGTAGATGGCACTGGCTACATCTTTTGGTTGTGGTTTGGTAGAGATGAGATTTGTATTCGTCGCTGGATTTCTTCTTGTGGGTGTCGTTTTAGTTGGTGATGACGTTGTTGAAGTTGCTGAGGCGGTTGTCGAAGGAGAAACTGGTGTAGAAAATGTTAATTGGTCTGTTGAATCTTGCGGCAACTGCGATGGAATAATTATTTTTGATCACGTAGAATATTTGTTACTCTCTTTATTTTTTGTTATTCCCCGCCTAGTCAATTCGCAAGATAAAATTTAATTAATTCAAAAATAGAAATAATCAAATGGACACTTACACTGCACTCCCATGTTATCAAATACGTTTGAACGTTAGATTTTCCGGATAATACTTTTTGTAGCACTCCGATTAACAAGTTGACCATCTCACAATGACTGTCGTTGCCAGGCGAGCCGAACAACACGACAGAATTGTTTCTGCTGTTTCTGAACTGCCGGAGATGACTGTTGATCATGAGGTGTGCCGTGCGTCCGACGCTGAAGTTGCACGTGTTCACCATCGTCCAGACCATCCTCTCAGATTGCAAGCTTGCGTGTTCTTCTGTTCTTGCTAGTGCTGCGAAAATGGTATCGTTCACAATCTTCGCATTTCGTTGACTTTGTGAGGATGAAGATTTGTTGCATGATATGGGGTAGAAGAAAAAAATGTTGTTGGAAGTTACTGGGCGGCTGCCGTTCAAAGTTCCTTCAAGAAAAATTATCTCTGGTAACGATACTGGCAGTAAAATAATGGCTACAAAATAGAGACTCGACTTTGAAAAATTACACATTTGATTTTTGAACGTGTATTAATTGATGTCATGTTATTTATTTCAAAATCCAGTTGTCGCAAATAATTTGAAATACTTTGTTTCGTAAAAATTGAACAGATAAATCAATAACAATGAAACATTATGTGATTTGAAACAATCAATTTAATTTCAATTTTATTCGAATTTGAAAAAAAAAATTTTTAAACTTCCGACGACTTATATTTTTAAAAGAGCACAGTAACTGTTAAAGCCAAATAAGCATTTTAGTATTCTACACCTTCCAGAAAAATGTCCTTCATTTTATAGCACGAACACACACGCACAACGATGTACGTGCACTCAAGTTGGCAATACGCGAATATATAATATATATATATCGTTATATATGTCACTCGTGGTAACGTAATAACAAACAGGGATTCGCAAGTATGGAGATAGGTGCACGGCACACATGCATTGTATACATGCTTGCATGAAACTTCCGCGTGCAAACGACGAATACCTACTCAGTAGCGAGCCACGTCGTCAGGCGCTACAGGTATTGTTTTAATAAGCTAATTGTTTCCGCTGTATTCATCATGCATCATGCCTAAGCATTTCAACCCTTCCCAAAGGTGATATCCAATCCATTCAATCTACACACGCATTCTTTCTTTTATTTCAGGTTCAACTCAGACAATGCCTCATTCTTACTAGCCCATCCATCTCGCGATGCTCCAATTCTAAACCTAGAAAATCATTTTAATTACGAACAATATATCAACAAGAGTGATTTACTGAACAAATTTATAAATTATTCTAAAAAATAAATTTACGCAAACATAGGCGCCAACCAGTTTCAACTTATGTGACATTATGAAAAGATTCGATAGCTTCATAACGATTATTTATTATCGACCACATCATTTGAAAGAATCAATTAAAACATTAATTTCTAGACAAAATCCTGTATATTACGGAGTACTATATACATTAATTTCCAAAGTCAATCTCATTTCGAGCCATGAACATTATCAATTGATCGAGGTAGAGTTGTAGGATTGAGTCGATATTTGCACTGGATCCAAACTCTGAACATCTTCAACTGCCTGCCCCTGTTAACCTGCAACCTCCTGTCTACGTAACATTGCTCCTCTGCCAGGCCGGCTTTCACGAACAATTCGCGCAATTCGTCTGAAAATTTTTTCGTTAAAAAGATTTTAAGCACTAACATTTTTAAACAGGAACAATGATTGGGGCTTACTATGTGTTACTATGAAGGTACATTAAAAATTAGCAACAAAAACAAGATAGCTATAAACCTTGCTTGAAGAAATAAACTCTTGTGCCGTCTCCTCTTATGTAGAAGTTGTCTTCCAAACATTTGCCTGGTTCAACAAATTTCATTTTTAACAATTAAAAATTATAAACTAAATTTATATTATTTGTGTTGTAATTTTTTATCTTCAAGAGTTTCAGGCTATCATTATTTATCATCAGTGAGATGAGGACGTGAGGTAGAGAGAGAATTTCATATCAACTTGCATCTGGACACAACTTTACATAGGACAGTACAAATAATGACATAGCGAATTTCAACCCCAACGCTTTATACAACTGTTATTAACATGAAATAAACTGGCGTGGTTTGTAACTCAGAAAGAATATTTTACCAAATCGTCAATTGCGTCAATTTGCACAGAATTGAAATTTTTATAGAACAATCAAAAGAAATGTCGTTAATAATTGAAGATTACACTATGGAAGTATTGCTTAGAATGCCATCTCATCGGAGAGCAATCTGAAACATGCATAGAGCCATGATAAACGAGTAAAGAAACGACATCATTCAAATCAACACTACCAATGAACGGGACTGGTTTTTGAAACCCAGAAAAATTAAGTAATGCTTCTGAAAAGCCTTGAAAAAATAATCAGTGCATGTCAGCCACAGTAGTTAGAGAAAAGACATGTGAAATTGTAAAACTGTGTGGGCACTAACTCGGATGTTGAACGTCATTGGGCAGGTTGTAATGCTGAGCAATGAATTAAAGGAAACATTAATTTGAAAGAATATCGTTGCTATGATACCTTTCTTGATCCTCAGTTGAGCCATATCGTACCTTCCATAATCTCGAAACAACACCATGCCACCTGGTTTCAAGTACGCTGACAAGCGTCTGATGGTATCAAGCATCCTAAATAAAAATAGAATGTGAAAATGCATTCAGTGGAAAACTATTCAACTTGTGAATGCATTATAAAGAAATCAAGTTTAATTAACAGTGAATTGAAAGCCTAACTGATTATTAATAATAGCAATTTGAAATAAAAAAATATTTTGAGAATTAAAATGAGATCAAAATATTACATAAACATTTATAATGTAGAATACAAACTTGTCAGGTTTGATAGCAGAGAGGACAAAAATAAGGATGATAAAATCCAAACTGGCTGGAGGAAAGGGTAGTTGAGTTTGTTGGTCGGAGATGTCAGCGACGAATGCGTGGCACCTGTTCGGATCGTACGACGAGTGCTCCTGGATCCAACCACATCAAATGTTCAATCATTGTGTGGTAGTCAGCGGCAACAGTTATATTAAAATAAAAACTTTTGTGGGATTTTAATTGAACAATATTATATTAAATTTAAATCTATATGAGAAATTCAGGAAAATTTGAAAACAACCTTGACGATCTGGATTGCAGTAGCTGAGAGGTCGCAACCATAAACGAACAAATGTGGATCACTTTAATAAATATTTAATCAGAAATCCACTTTTAAATTATTTTTAGAAGCACAACAAAAATTGTGTTAAAAAATGAGACAAGGCAGGTAAGCTGCTTGCAACAGAAGGGTCGATGTATAGTTTTTGAAAATAGAAATTGAATGAGGAGTAAAAATTTGTTTGTGTGTGCCTCAAAATAATGAAGGTGACTAAACAATCAATCAATCCTCGTTTATAGTCTCCATCTGTTATGGATCTGACTAAACAACATAAACATAATAATAAACTTAAAGAAAGCAAGTATGTTACTTGTTGGCTTCCAGCAGTGGAAATATCGTGTTTCCGACCCCACACCCCACCTCAAATATTCGAGTGCTGGCTTTCTCACCTGGATATGTCTCATTGCTGGTTGTCTCTGGATCAGCTGAATCACTGCTACTATTTCGGTGGGAAGCCAATTCGGCAAATTCAGTGAAGAGCCAATTTCTGTCTTTAAAGAATCTATTCTGATGTTGCGAGTAGAAGGCATCCCAATATTTATTCGCATCCTTTTCATACTTCTCTGAATATTTAAAAAAATGAATGCACATTTCATTTTCTTAATGAAAAACTCACAAATTTTTCATCTACATTCCAGAAATTTATAAAAAAATTTGAAGTAAACCTTGTTCATCTGAAGATAATTTAATGGTTGAATTGGCTTCGACTTTCTTACGAGCATCCGACTCCATCTCCTCATCCCAGTCAACATTATCCCTGCCAAATTCAATTTTAAACAATGTTTACATCAATCTAAAAATTCATGCATTAAAAAAACACATAATTAATAATTGATCTGCAGAGTGCATCATATAAACTTTTTTTCTACCTAACCTCTTATGTTCTTCTTTTTCAAAATGTTTTGACTAGCTTAAATTTTTCCTTTGTTACTGCAACTTGTGTGTCGCACAATTTTTAAATATTAAAATATTTTTTAAAATGTGGCATGAAATTGAAATATACATAAAGGGGTAATTAAGAACATAATTTTATAAACACTACTTTACTTTAACTTTGTGTCAAAAATATACAATTGGTGAAGAGTAAGGTGCGGCGTATCAAAGATGGATTCTGATAGCTAGCTTTATGGAGCATTAACATGATAAGGTAGTAATGACCCATGAGCCATTATTCCTTAGCAGAAAATATGCTAACAGCAGATATGCCAATTACTATACAATCTTCTTTTTACAATGCGTAGGCATATAGATATATATTATTTAATATATATACAGTAGGCAGACGCTATAGCATTATTATCTTAATCATTTATGTAAGTAAATTTAAACGGAAGGCAGTAAACAATAATTATAATAGCATAACATTGGTCCATACCTGCCAATAGAAACACTAACTAACCAGTTATTGAACTGGAAAACTTTATTTGCATCTAAAAGAGGCCTGTTTACTCTGGGGGGGCGTTTGCCATTGTTGGAATTTTTCAATGTTTCAGATGTGCAAAATATGCATCGAGAATAGGAAAGAGAAGGAGCTGAAGTTTTAAAAAACTTGAAAATTTGTTTCAAAGACATTTCCTAATTAATTAAAAACGTCTCAACATTATTTTTCTGACATGACTTACATCACACATAAAATTACATAAAATTTTAATTTTTTTCCAATTTAATTTATAGAAAAATTAATTGAATGATAATTTGTAACTATAATGTTTATTTATAAAACAAACTAGAGCAAAAATATGTACTTTGATTTTTTTAGTTAATTAGACGTTATATTAATTTAGTTTACTTTACACAATAGTGTTTACTTTTACTTCTTAAATGAAGTAATACAGTTTGAGTTAGTACCTGTATTTGTATTAGTACTTGAGCATTTTAACATTCTATCATATCAACCAACATAACCACACACACACACACACACACACACACATACATAAAGGAATGTTACAAATTAAAATACTATTTAACTTATTTTACTACATACCAAGCGTTATGCTCGAAAACCAAGTCTTGATTTGTTAAATAACGATTTCCGAATTGTGCTCGCTTATCATTGTCGTCACAAACTTTTTCTCCAATGTTTGTTTCCATTATTTTATTATTTGTTCTTCCATAAAAAAAAATATTAAATTAAATTATTAAATTATTAAAATTTGGCCAAAACCTCAAAATCAATAATCTTAAATCTTAATCTTATTAATTCTTAAAAAAATTTAATTGCGCAAATCAATTTTTATATAAGTTTCTGAAATAAGCAAAACAAAAAGATATATGTAGATATACGATTAATAATTTTATTCCGATTTCATAAAAGTTTGGCAAAACAAGCATGCAATAGTTTAAAAGTGCACGTTTAAAATTTAAAAGTGAACTAACTGCTTATGGAAAGAGATAAGAGGCAGAAAGATGTGGGAAACATGACGACATGACAAATATCATGGTGGCTCAGTTGATGACTGTGCGAGAACCGCTCTGCACTGTCTTTATGACAAATAAATAGAATTAAAATCTTATTTCACTGAGTTTGACTTTGAACGTCTGCATTGTAGAAGCTGCAACAGTCTTTTCACCTAGCCAAAATTCAGTAATCTTGAGCTGAAAAATCGTTTTATTGACACTACTTCCTTTTTAAAATGCTTGTATTTGTGACCACTTGTGCTACAGCTCTCCGTAAAGTAGAAAAAATATGGATGAATCTACGTCATCTCTGCTCGTTATATCATGTACGTCTGAATCAGATTTCCTCTGATCTTGCGTTTAGCCAATCTTTTTACATACGGTTGTTTTTCGTAATTCTTAATCATTCGTGTTGCTCGTACTTGAACAATTTCTATCATTTTTTTCTTTTTCCCACTAAGGGCTCCATGTTTATATTCGCTACTCTAGTTTAGGTCATACCAAAGTCTTCCTACAAGTTTTGCATTATTGATTGGTTCCTACTGACTACCTTACAGTTATTTCTTATCTTAACCGGGCGTTTTATTTTTTGCCGCTTTTGTGGATTGTCAAGAAGGTTTTCTCTCTCTCTTTCTCTCTCTATATATATATTATCAAAAATTTATAAAATGCATAAATAACAAAAAGTTTTTCAAAAGCACTACCCATAACAGTAAAATAATAAAATAAATTTATATTTTATTATATTTAATTTCAAAAATTTTATATATTTTCTTATATTATAATATATATAATATATTATAATATATTTTATTATATATAAAATGAAATATACTAATATTTATGTTTTAATAACTTTTTTTATTCCCCTTAATTATTTAAAATAATTTTCAGATGGCTGGAACTGGTTATACATAAACTTTCAGGTAAAACTACGTAAAGGGTATGAAAACCCTTAAGCCATTTCCTGTTATCAAGGGCTCCGTTGAGTTGTCATTTTATATTAAATAGAAAATGTTAAGAAGTCTCGTAACTTTTTCTCTATTTTCTGTTCCATTCACTCATGTCTGAGTCGTTTTGAAAGTTCAACAAACGCTGAAATTTTCACTGAGTGCCAAAATTGTTTATAAAAGAATTTGAATTTATGAACAATTAACAATAGAACTTATTCGTAGCATGTTACAATATTGCAATTGTGAATGGAGGAATTAAAATTTGATCGATACCGATGAAATATTAAACTATTTTCATAAATTTTCATTTTTTTTCGTATTTGATGTTATTGACGACCACTTAATATTGTCAAACAAATTTTTAGAAAATTTTAAAATTCGAATAAAATTATAATGAAATCAATGATGTACCAACGTATATCTACAATACCGCCATGAACAATTCTAAATAAATTAATTTATTTGTACATCAACTGTTCAGGTGAAACAGAATATTTTTGACTAACAACTTCGTTCAATTTTTAATAGACCTGATCTGCTATGTACAAATTATATGCCGTAACTTTAATAACACGTTATGAATCAGGCACCATGTACGTTTATATGTTGATGAAAATGTTCTTTGATGGTTTATAGCCTAATAATCAAGAAAATTATTCGAAGTTGTTTGTGAAAGCCGAGGAAATGAATAATTACATCATGAATTATTAAAACAAATGTTTACTTGCAATTAATATAGGCAGATCTGTAATATTTTTGTTAGTGTCTGACACTCAATAATGGGATAATGAGTGCTTCGAACATCGTCAACCAACTATCGAATTTCGTGTTTAAAAGCTGAACAATTTTAAAACGCTATATAATTTTTAAAAATCACCGAATATGTATGAACCGTTTAATATGAGACTTTTATGCTTGGAGGATGGTTCTAATTTATTCCTCAGGTAACTAACTCAACTATAACAAAGCCTACCTAGGTGTTTAGGCTTGAAATGTTGCGGCCTTTTAATTTATTCGCAGTATTCAATACATAACTCAAACTACTGGACGATATCACCATGACCGAAAAATTTTAAATGGATTAGAAACAAAATTCAACCTCAATTAAAAATGAAATAACCACATTCATCTAACAATGTACCCGCCCAGCAATGCATCCACCCAACAAATCACCCACTCAACAATGCGCCCACCAACAATGCACCTACCCAGCTAACAAAGCAACTCCATCCAGACGATGCATCACCGTAGCGTCGCCACATTTCAGAACACTCGAACAAGTCACCTCGTTGACGTGTGTGAGGACACGTAAGAAGAAGAAGAAGGAGGAGAAAAAGAAGTTGGAAGTATTTAATAAATTAGAAAGATGGTCCAGTGCAGCAGTAAATGAATGCAAGCGGGTGTGTGAGGAATGTTATTTCATTTATTTTAATGACATTAATTAAAATAATAAATCAAGTTCTATTCTTCTTGTCACATACGACGAAACGTGCTGCTCCTGCCACCATTAGGCCAACGAAAGAAACGAACGAACAAACGGGCGAACAAATGAACGAACGAACATGAATGAACAAAAACAAGAATGAACGAACGCACAAACTATGGAGAAAAACATAAAATAACAAAACGACGGACAAACACTAAACAAGCGAACAGAAGAATGAATGCAGCAGTCAACACTGACTGAGGCACATTTTCCAATGTGGTATTTCCTCATTATTTATAAGATTTTAATGTTTCAAATTTTTTATACAAACGTCTTTCTACACCTTCAATTTCTATTTTCCAGGTTTTAATAAATTAGTGTTTACGTTCGGATATGAAAAAAATGAATTTGTATCTTTAGATAATGTGATTGACCATTTCAACGTATGCAGGAGAATCACGATCTATCACATGTTTTCATATCAATGCATCTATGAATGCACTGCACACACACACCACACACACACACCAAACACACACACCACACACACACACACTCACGCAAAACACTTACACACACCAAACACACACCACACACACACAACAAGCACACACACAAACGTTAAAGCGTTTATGTAAATTTTTGTGAAAAGTGAAATTGAAAAATTATCCAAAATTTGAAAAAAAACATGTTTGATAGCTGAAACGTTAATGGAACATCACACATTACACAGCCTGCTGTATCAAAACTTTTTGAATACTCTCTGAAATTATAACGACTTAAATAAGGCAATAGGTAGGTAGGTAGGTAGGTAGGTAGGTTGGTAGGTGGGTAGGTAGGTAGATAGGTAGATAGGTAGGCACTAGCATAAGAAACAAGACATGTACGTACATGTACATGCAGAAAAGCAGGCGTACACATTAATTTGCGCGAAGACATCATGAAGAAACATTGAGCCAAGCTTATGCAAGATTAAAATACTCCAGACAGCATGATAAACAGCCGTAATAAGTAACTTACCAGTCTATGAAATACAATGTGCGCAAAAGTGGTCTGGAGCCTGGAAACATTATATCCGTGTGTGTGTGTGTGTGAGTGTGTGTGTGTGTATTTACGTGTCCGGGTGTGTATGTGTGGGTGTGTAGTGTGTATATATGAGTTTGTGGTATGGGTAAATTGGTGGTAATGGAATAGATTTCTCACCCTAACACACACACACCACACACAAGCACACACACACACACACCCCATACAAGTATGGGGTGTGTGTGTGATATTCATAAACTCAAATGTATACAAATGATTTAGTTCACACGAGCATTATAAATACATAAATACTTATTTGAAATAGTATAACTGTTATTGAAAGCAGTAATGATAGATGTTGAGTCCCCAAAATGCTAACAACCTGGAAACAAACAACTTCCCACGAAGTCTCAGTAGTCACACCTGGCCATCATGTTTAGCAAACATCAAACCTTCACTTTATAGCATTGTAACGTTGGTCAGGCTCTAAATTAAAAAGTGGCGCACTGACAACCAACCAGCCAAACAACCAACTGATTCATACATTCTCGAATCCAGCCAAGTGTTTGAGATACATTCACCCTGACCAGCTAATTTGAATTGTGTCGTCGTCATACCGCGTTGTTGGACTACGTTTAGTAAATATTTATGCCAAAAGAATTCAATTTAACCTTTTTCATATTGACAACGAAAGTTTTATAGTTTTTATAAATTAAAAAATTTAAGCTTCTTAGCAGTTTAGATTGTTTTGAAAAATAAGTTTAAAT